GAGATTTTACAAGTTGAAGATGGAAGACCAAACTGTGCATTTTTGCCATATTTTACTGTTTTACTTCCATAAAGGGAAGAATGCGTGTCAAGCTTGTGAAAAGTTGCATAAAGTTTACAGTGACAATGCTCTCCAAGAACGTCAAGTGCCAACGATGGTTCACAAAATTCTGTGCTGGTGATTTTGATCTCAAGAATGCCCCTTGGTCAGGGAGGCCCACTGAAGTTGATGACATCAAAATAAAGGCATTGGTGGAGTCAAACCCAGGTTACACAACAAAAGAGATTGCAGAAACATTGAACATCCATCATTCACGCATTCACGACCACCTGAAGAAGCTGGAATACGTAAGCAAGCTCGATATTTGGGTTCTGCATGAACTCAAAGAAGTTCATTTGACAGCCCATATAAACATCTGCAATATGCTCATTAAATGTGAGAGAAATGACCCTTTTTTGAAGTGACTGATAACTAGTGATGAGAAGTGGATTGTTTACAACAATGTGGTGCACAAATGGTCTTGGTCCTGACATGATGATTTGCCTCAAACGACATTGAAAGCAGACATTCATTAGAGGAAGATTATGCTCTCAGTGTGGTAGGATTTTAAAGGTGTCGTGTTTTTCAAGCTTCTACCAAGGAACCAAACAATAAAATCGAATGTGTACTGTTGGCAATTGGACAGTTTGAACGAATCCTCATTCAGAAACGTCCAGAGCTTGTTAATTGTAAAGGAGTTGTGCTCCATTGCGACAACACAAGACCACACACAACTTTGATCACCCGTCAAAAATTATTGAAGCTTGGATGGGATGTGTTGCCACACCTACTATACTCTCCTGACCTTGTGCAGTCAGACTTCCACTTGTTTCGCTGTCTTCAAACTCCTTGGGTGGTATAACGTTCAATTCAGATGAGGCAGTAAATCAGCACCTTGTTCAGTTTTTTGCAAATAAAGACAGGTCCTTCTATGAATGAGGAATTATGAAGCTCACTGAAAGATGGCAAAAGGTTATCGAACAAAACGGGCAATATATCATTGATTGATCTTTGTTCTTTATATAAATAAATGACCTTTGAAAAACATAGACAAAATATGTCATGACTTTTCCAAAGACCCAATATATATAAAGCGCTTAGAGAATTACATGACACATCAATGGTTTTCAGTTAAGAGTGGCCCTTATTAATAGTACTATTAATGTCTTGGAGGATTCAATGCTTTATAGTAACAGATTCACTGGCTACCTGTAGGGACTTGTAGCACTAATTATAGTAAATCCAGGCAACTAAGGATAAATACTATAATTCCCCAACTAGAGAACTTAAAAAAGGCCGTGAACTATTGTGCTGAGATGCCTAATCCAAAAAATAGCTACATCAACTAATATTTGCTTAGCACATTTTCATATGTGAAGTACTTTCCTATGAATTAACTCATGTGCTCGTTTCAGCAGCCTATGAGAGAAATTGATAATATTGTCTCCATTTGAAGGGAAATAAACTTCAGAGAAGTCCTTGCTCAAGGTCCCATGATGGCAAGTGGCAGAGTTGGGAGGCTCGATATAATTGAAAATGTACACTGCGTCTTTTTCTGTTCCTTAAAATATTGAACACAGAATTTGTTTTGAAGGTTTAGGAAATTGTAACCTTATGGTCTCAGTTAAGAATGATAATGCGGGGATTATACAATCATAAAATCGTGTGTGGGGTCCATCAACAATCATCTCTCTTAGCCTTCTCATTTTACAAAAGAGAAAATTGAGAAAAGAGCAATTAAATGGCTCTCCTGTAGTCACTTTGAAAATTCATGGCTGTGCTTCTAGTTAGAGATGGCAGATTTAACATATGCTTTACATTACCTTCCATCTCCCAAACCCACTAAAAAGACAGTAAAGGGATTGATTTTAAGGACATTAACCCATAAGGACAAAAAGAATGAGAAAGAAAACAACAACAACAACATTTTGGAAGATAGAAAGCAGATGGTGGAGGGGTGACTGGCTTAGCAGATCCATGAAGCTGAAATTTAAGTTGACAGCGGGGAAGCCCAGAAGCAACCTGATTTGCACTGCAAAACCTCACAAAGACTCAGACATTGGCAGCAAGAAGTACCTCTGAAAGTGCGGATGCTGCTGAAGCGGATACAGGATTCGCTAATAGTTTGTTTGACAAGTCGTCCCTTCACCCCTCCAGCAGAAGGGTGGAGGCTGTCTCCCTGGAAAGGCTGTACCAGAAGGATCCTAGAGAGAGGACATGTACTACTGAGGGCAGGGGCACCCTACTGCAAACTGGAAGGTTTACTAACAGTCCGCATTCTGAATGGGTGGAACCCAGACTTCCTGTCCCACCTTGGTTCTCGAAACACAGGCAGCCATACTTTTAGACCCTGGGCTGAATACTGAATAATTTTGGTCTGAGGACTCTGAGCAGCCCAACCTAAAGATACTGATGGTCAAGCATCCTCTAATGAAATGGCCCAGACAGATCACCTTAATGACACTTTCCATGTATGCAGATCTTTCTTCAGCTATGCGGTGCTCCTCTCTTAAGATGGTCAGATTTAAATAAAAATTTGATAGGCAGGACATACTTATACTAAAAATGTATTTGTTGTTTATATAAAAATTAAATTTAACTGAGTATTCCATACCTTCTTTTTTTAAAATTGAAGTTTATTGGGGTGTTAAAAGTTACATAGGTTTCAAGTGTACAATCTGTAATACATCATCTATATATCACATTGTGTGTTCACCACCCAGAGTCAGTTCTTTCCATCACTATATATTTGACTCTCTTTACCCTCACCTACCACCTCCTTCTGCCCTTTATCCTCTGGTAACCACTAAATTGTCTGTGTCTATGAGTTTTTGTTTCATTTGTTTGTCTTGTTCCTTTGTTGTTTTCAGTTTTATATCCCACATATTAGTGGAATCATATGATTCTCTACTTTTTCTGTCTGACTTATTTTGCTTAGCATAATAATCTCAAGATCCATCCATGTTGTCACAAATGGCACTATTTCATCTTTTCTTATGGCTGAGTAGTATTCCGTTGTGTATACTGCACAGCTCCTTTATCCAATCATCTATCGAAGGACACTTTGGTTGTTTCTATGTCTTGGCCACAGTAAACAAAGCTGCAATGAACATTGGAGCACATATATCCTTACAAATAAATATTTTCAGATTTTTTGGGTAGATACCCAGGAGAGGAATTTCTGGGTTATATGGTAATTCTTAACTTTTTGAGGAACCTCCACACTGCCTTCCATAGCGGCTGCACCAATCTGCATTCCCACCAACAGTGTATGAGGGTTCCTTTTTCTCCACAGCCTCTCCAAATTGGCCATATTACCCAAAGCAATATACAGATTAAATGCAATCCTCATAAAAATTCCAATGGCATTTTTTTTAAAGAAATAGAACAAAACAATCATCAGATTTG